CTGCGGGGAGCCTCCTGCGCTGGGCTCTGCCCTCCTCTCCCTCCTCACCACTGCTGCGGGGCAAACGCAGCAAGGTCGGCCAGGGGTTTTGGCCCAGCGGTGAGGTCTTTCTCCCTTGTCCCACCCTTCTGCTCCTCCTGGCCCTCGCGGAGATACTTGTTTGCCTGTGCCACCAGCATCCCTGGGCTCTGGGCTCCTCTGCCCTGCAGCTAAGGCAGCAGCAGGTGGTTTGCGCGGGCACATTCCTCAATACTTGTGCACTGAAACTGTGAATGGACTGGACTAAAGGTAGGGGAAGGAATCACACTCAGGTCTGATGTCCTGGCAGGTGGCAAAGCCATCGCTGGCAGACATAGTGACTTTTGTTGGTAGGCATGTCTGCAAAGCAGAGTTGCAGCTCTGCCTGAGAAGGATGCTATGCCCTACCTGCACAGAGCATCCCTGGAGTCATGGAGTTATGATCGGTGTTGAGAATGGGGCACTGTCTGTGAGAGAAATGATGGGTTACAGGAAGGAACTCGGCCGTTCTTCTCCTGTGGTTGCATATACTTTCGAGGTCTAGATTCCAAATGGTGCTATGCTCTTTGGAACAGGGTGGTCCCTCCATGAGTGTTCGTGCAGCACCTAGCATCTCCGATCCCAGCAGCTGCTTTCCTACAAAACCAGTGGAGGCAGAATCCACGATGTGTTAACACCCAATGAAGCTGCAGGACATTAGGATGGGCCTGTATGAGTCCTTCTGTTATCTGGCACTTCAAAGGTCCCTCTAGGCAGTCGGTCCTCCCTCTTTCCACCTCCAGCTTTTCCCCTTAAAGGTACTCCTTTCTCTTTCTCTCCCCACTCACCACATGTAAGCAGCTGTCAGCACTATGTAAGGTTTACATCATTCTTCTCCAGCGCTACTCCTATAGTGCGCTTGAGGGTTGTATTTGTTTTATTTTAGCCAGTTCACTAAAATCAGTTCCTCTCCCTCTGGCTATTATCTCCCCCCCACCCCCCACCCCTGTTCCCAACTGTTGCTGTGCAATTTCTACACCCGCGTAATCTACTCTGGCAGCTGCATCCCCAAACCCCACCAGCTGCTGGTCCCTGGGCCAGTCAAAACAGGTGGAAGGAGCTGGCCTGCCAGGGTCTTGGGGTGGCCAGGGCAGTGGTGGTGGGAGCAGAAACATGGTGGTGCAGAGAGGTAGAGAACGTGTGGTGTGGTGGTGGCAGGCGTAGGGTGCAGGACTGATGCGAGGGTAGGCTCTGGCACACAGTTAACATGGCCAGGGTGGGAAGGACAGTTGCAGCTTGGTATTGATAACCTGGTAATGTCTGCTGACCTGGCTAGCTCTGCCGACTGCAGTGAGTAAAGGACTTTCTACGCCTTGCTGTGTTAACTTTTACACTAGTTCATATATTTTTAAAGATACTTACCTAATCTGAGTGAACTTCTTTGCTGTTAGAGCAAAGGAGCAGCTGAATAAAAACTGCACTGTGCTGCAGCACTGATGGATAGGCGGGCTTAGCTCTAACTTTGGTTTGTAGGTGTGCGTGCACAGGGGAAACGGAAAATAAGGAAAATGGTATTTGCATGACAGCATTCATTTTGCTGCTGTTGTTTAGAGTGACTTTCTCTGCAATTCCAACAAAATCTGATGAAACTTAAAGGACATCAGTCTAATATTAAAATCACTTGAGAGTTCCCTAATATTAGAAAGATGGCCTTTTGATTTTTTCTGGAAATAGAAAATGTATGTTGGTTTGCTGCTTTTTTTTTTTTTTTCCTACCAGAGGGACCTAAGCTTTATTACAGTTGCTGTGCTTAATAAGCTTTAAAAAAAAAGCCTAAAAATGCAGACACCTGTTACTAACAGTTGCAGCTATAAAATTCAGAAACGTGGCAGATGTTTCCGATGGCAATGTCTCAAACTGTATCAGGGTTTATGTTTGTGGGTTTTTTTCACTAAAGCACCCACTTGTCCCTTGGCATGTGTGTGGAGAAAAAGAGAGTAGGGGAGGAAGGGGGGGGGGGGGGAGAGAGGTGCCATTCATATCCTCCCAGAAGGTGGGGTAGGGGTTGAATGTGCTCCTCTTTCTTGCCTTTATGAAACATAAAATTATGTCAGAAAACTAGGTGGTAATCCTCCCTGAGATAAGAAAAGCAGAGAAGCCATGGAGAGAAGGTCAGTTCCTGAAATAATCCGGGTGCTCTGAAGTTCCTCCTCCTGACAGCCCGTATGGGCTGTGGCTTCTTTCCTGCAGGCCACAGATTTCCAGGGCCTGGTATCGCAATCCCATCGACAGCAGCACCTGCCTGAAGGACTGAGGCCCAACACTGCTGCTGTGAAGGGAGTGGAGGAGAACAACAGGAGATCAGATTAGTTTATTGTTACCTATAGAGAGCCCGCCTAATTTGCAGCCACTCTTATCTCTCTTACTGTATTAAATCTGGTGTAAACACTAATTAATGTAATGGCTCTAACAGATCAGAGAGGGAAAGTAATGCTGTTTGCTGCACACCCCCTCCTCCCCCAGATCACACCGGCTTGCCTGGTGGGGCTAAATTCTACAGAATAAGACAAGCCATGGTATTCTCTGAAATCCAGCTCTCTTTGAACTAGCCAGAGGTTTCATCCATTCCGCCCCCCGGGTTTCCCGGGAGTCCAAGCCCGCTGGCGGTGCCTCGGTTTTCTCGAGTTCGTCAGCGTTATACACGGCGGTATCAGACGAGCAACCCTGGGCTTAGGGGTGTTACCGGTGGTGGCCCTCGCTACGCAGCCTGGGCCTGGGGCCAGGGCCTGCCGGAGGCTCCCCTCCTGCATTTCAGCCTCCTGCCGCCCTCCGCCCGCAGCCTCCAACGGAGCGGCCGCCACGGGGGCGGGGGCGGGGGGGGG